AGGGCTTTCCTGCTGCTGTTGTTCAGAAACCATCCACAAGTCTGAATACTGGAGTAACTTAACCTACTAAATATGTAACTGCTAAAATTCTGTGTGCACAGCCCCCTTATGACTAGGATAGAAAAATATTAGTACTGAGTTCCTCATCCATGATTAGGATACAGCATAATACGCAATTACTAGGTATGTAAAATATTACGGTAAGGGAGGCTGTAGCTGGAGTTATTCCCTCTGGTTCCTAGTCTGGAAAGTGAAAATAGTGCTGTTGTCATCACTTTTGTTAGCCATACTAGTTGGTTAGGACTTGGCTAGGGGCAGATTGTTTAAGAGTGGTTCACCTCTAATGACAGGAAGCGAGGGAAAAAGGATTCCTCTGGGTTAGGATCACAAAGTCCATGCCAAATTGCTGGTCTTTTAGCCCAACTATTGATCTCAGAGTCAGTCCTGGAGCCAAGCTGTGGGCTGTCTCAGGACTCAGAATCTGTATTTCAACCTAGTGATGTTATTAGTACATGACATGAAATAGACAGGCAGGGAAGAAAATAAAAGAAAATGTAAACAAATGGGATAATAATATCAATAAACTAAAAAAAAAATCATGAACAATGTTTGTCTGTATTTATCTGGGACAAGATAAACACAGGCAAACCGAAAAGCTAAATCTCTAAAAGCTAAATCTCACACAGGTGTGTGTGTGGTAATTCATTAGAATGACAAAGGATGAGCCCAAAGCAACAGGTGAAGTAGCGACACCATATAAAGATGGTTGGCATCTCTTGGGCTTGCAAGGGTATAATACAGTCACTCTTATTTCAGGAAAGGATTCCAAACAAAATAATGCAAAAAAATTCCTCCACTTAATGAGTGCTGTCACTATCAATTATAATGACAAAAATAATACTGGTTTTCCCCCAAAATTACTTTGCTAAAAGAATAACAAAAAGAAATGGTTAAAAGCCTGGGCAGGCTGGGTGTGGTGGCTCATGCCTGTAATCCCAACACTTCGGGAGGCCAAGGCAGGTAGCTCACTTGAGGTCAGCAGTTGGAGACCAGCCTGGCCAACATGGTGAAACCCCATCTCTACTAAAAAAAAAGGAAAAAGACAAAAATTAGCCAGATATTGTGGGGCACACCTGTAATCCCATCGTAATTCCAGCTTTCTGGAAGGCTGAGACATGAGAATTGCTTGGACCTGGGAGGCAGCGGCTGCAGTAAGCCAAGATTGTGCCACTGCACTCCAGCCTGGGCAAGAGTGCAACTGTCTCAAAAAACAAACAAACAAACAAAACACCTTCAACAGGGAAAGTTAGCATTTTCCCTTAATAATCATATATTCTATTTTTAATTTTTGGCAATCATGCCCAAGGGAAACTTTTTTTTTTTTGAGACATAGTCTCACTCTGTTGCCCAGGTTGGAGTGCAGCGGTACAATCTTGCCTTACTGCAACCTCCAACTCTCAAGTTCAAGCGAATCTCCTGTCTCAGCCTCCAGAATAGCTGAGATTACAGGTGTACACAACCATGCCCAGCTAATTTTTTAAAAATTTTTAGTAGAGATGGGGTTTCACCATGTTGGCCAGGCTGATCTTGAGCTCCTGACCTCAGGTAATTCATCTACCTCGGCCTCGCAAAGTGCTCGGATTACAGATGTGAGCCACTGTGCCCAGCCCAGAATGAAACGTTTTAAAAGCAAATTGTCCATATATTCTTCTCCTTCTTCTTTGAAAGACAGGGTCTTGCTCCATTGTCCAGGCTGGAGTACCATAGTGCAATTACCGCTCACTACAGCCTCAAATATCTGAGCTAAAGGGATCCTTCTGCCTCAGCCTCCTGACTACAGGTGTATGCAACCATGCCTGGCTAACATTTTTATCATTTGAAGAGAAGGGAACTTGCTGTGTTGCCCAGGCTGGTCTTGGATTCCTGGCCTTAAGCAACGCTCCCACCTCAGCCTCCTAAAATGCTAGGATTAACAGGTATGAGTCACTGTGCCTGGCCAGATTATTCATATATTCTTACAAGCTCAAGTGAGTTTTACAGATACAAAGAAATAACATTTTAGGAAATTTAGGACCAAATCCTATTAATATTCGCCACTGTTCTGCAGATTGTAGACAGTATTGGTGGGTTAAGTTCCCTTTTTTAAAAAAAGAAAAAGAATACACAAATGCCACTGTGATTTAATTCACAGATATAGACCAATTCAACAGGAAATATCAACTTTATAAGATAGAGTAACAAGAGACTGAACACAGATGTTGCAGTTGCATTGTGATTGATAAGCTATAGTGTATGTGTGTACACATACACACACACACACACACACACAAATATTATTCAGCCTTAAAAAAGGAGATCATGTTGTCACAACATGGATGAACTGGAAAAAAAAAAGAAGGTCAAATATAGAGAGAATAAAACAGTGGTTACTAGGTCTGGGTTTGGGGACAAGGTGGTAAAATGTAAGTCAGAGGATACATAGCAGCAAATATGTAGGATAAACAATCCTAAAGATCCAAAGGCACAACATTAAGCCTGTAGTTAATAGCATAGTCTATTCAGGATTTTTGCTAAAGGGGTAGGTAGATGAGAGCTGCTTTTGCCACAAGGAGGGAAAATGGGTAACTATGTGAGACGGTGGATATGTTAATCTGTTCCATGATAGTAACCATTTTACTACAAATATGTTTCTTATAACATCATGTGGTATGCCTTATATATACACAATAAAATGTATTTTTAAAAATACAAATATACCACTATGAATTAGTTCACAGAGAAAATTCAACAGGAGACATCGAGTTTATATGACGATGTAGTAACAAGAGACTAGACACATAAAGAGATGTCACATATTATGAGAACACACAAACATTATTCTGTTTTTCCAGAAAAAAAAAAGAACCTTCTCTTTCACTACAAAATGTGCTTCAACCTAGAGGGACAAAAAAGCAAAATGAGAAAAATATTTATCTTGGCAGCACTATTAGAAAATTATGTTCCTGAAAATGTTCACATTTCCTTTCAGTATTACAAAGGAAAGAAGGTGACATTTTGCCAAAACTCAAAAAGCCTTTTAAAGGTTTTAATTTCTTTATTGTAAATTCAGGTAAAGAGGGTTGTACAGAACAGTACTGTCCAGTAGAAATACAATGCAAGATATTTAGTAATTTTAAATTTTCTAGTGGCACATTAACAAAAAGGAAAAAAAATTTAATATTTAATTTAACCCAATATATCTAAAACATTATTTCAATATACAACCAATATAAAAATTATCAATAAGATATTTTACATTCTTTCTTTTACACTAAGTCTTCAAAAACCTGGAATATATTTACATTCACATCACAAAGTCGACTAGGCACAATTCAAGTGCTCAATAGCTATATATGGTTTGTTGGTACCACACTGGATAGCACTGTTCTAAACTATAGAGTGTTTGTTTCTATAACATTAGTATGATAGATTTTTGTGATAGAGCTTTTTTAGTGGAAGGTTTCATTATAATGAATTTTATTTTTATAGGGCCAAAAATGATGTATCTTACAACAGTGTTGAGTGCTATTTTACAAAAAAGTCTAAATCTTTGTCCTATTCATTATAAGCAACAACAAGTTTTCGGTTAATATGCTTTCAAATACCAGGGTCCTCGTTTTGTCAAAATATTATCCCCTCACAGTTACTAGGGTCCCAGAAGATAAGACTGCATTCTAGTTTCTTGTGCCTCTACCTGCCAATTGGCTTACACATGGAAACATGCTGCCACCACAATATGGGTCATATTCAGCATGATGCTGATCTACCTCATTCAGTTTAATGGTTGTTTATTAATTGGGTATGGGTTCAATTCAATCTCCTATTACTTAAGGAAATAATTTTTTAACATTTACTTAAGTGTAACATCATTTTGGCCTATTGCTGTAGGCCCATTATGTGGTGACATACTAAGGAGATGTGCATATGTAACACAGAACTTCACCAACAAGAAACCTTTATATAGACTGTATTTTTATATACAGAATTTCACCAACAAGAAACCTTTATATAGACTGTATGTTTATATTCATATGTATACATACAGTCTATATAAAGGTTTCTTGTTGGTGAAATTCTGTAGCAGAAAACTAAATTATAGCATTAATGATATTAATTTATTACAAAATAACTGGAATTGATGAACTTTAAAATGGCTTCAAAGAAGAAATCCTCCTATAGCACGGAAGAGTTCCTAAAGTAAAACTCTTGGCTCAAATGCTGACAAAGTAAAAATTAGCACACAGAAAAAAATATATATGTATTTAACTTTATTTTCTCCAAATAGAATAAAGATTCACATGCTTAGCACAATTTCTGGAAATGGCCTCAGAAGACTTTTCTACTCTAAATGTGGTTTCTCTACACTTTAATGATTAAATAACTGTTGATCAATTAAAAGTTAAATATAAAGAAACTTTAAAATTTAATAATTAAAATACAACTCAATAGGAAGAAAGGCAAAAGACATGAAGAGGGATTGCCAAAAAGAAATAAGAAATCCTATAAAAAAATGTTCAACTTACTAATAATCAAAAATTGACAGAATGAAACCACAATGAAGTAATATTTTATACTTTCCAGCTTGGCAAAAACGCAACTCTGACAATCTCAAACATTGGCAAAGATCTAGAGCCCTGGAAATTCTAGTATACTGGTGGGAAGCATAAATTAGTACTTTGGAAAACAATTTGGCCTTATCTATTAAAGCTGATCATGTGCTTTTATTATACAAACCAGCAATTCTATTCAAGGTATACATCCATTCTTGAGGATGTACACCAGAAGTCACATAAAATAATGTTCACAGCAACATTGCTTTTTTCTGACTCAAACCAAGATGCGGTTCAATAAGCACCAGCTGGAGAAGAGAATATTTGTGATATACTTATAATGGAATAATATTTAGTGGTGAAAAAACTCCCATGGCAATAAATATAAAAAGGAGGTGCAGAAAAAATACATTCACTTTAATTACAACTTATTATGCTTTATGGACACATACATGGAGATAAAGTGATGAAGGACAAGAAGTGTATGATCAACACAAAGTTCAGTATAGGGGCTCCCTCTATCAGACAGGGATAGAGATAGGTTCAGGAAAGAATACTCGGTACCTCAAACAAAAGGCAGTAAGGTGGGTGGTAGGCACACAGGGGTTTGTTTATTATTATTATGACTCTTTATACTTTAGCATATATGTTATATGTGTATATACCTATCTATATTCCATTGCATGTATGAAATTTCTTAAAATTCAAACATCTTATAAAAAAAAAAATACATATAATGTTTTAAATAGTGAATCACAGCCTGGAGGCTATAATATCCACTCTATCATTGAGCCCTGGCTAAAACCACTGCTTTGTTTCTGTTCCCCTCATACTTGAGAATAGAGATATTGTCCTGCTCCGACAATACTTACCACATTTTAGGGGATTGATCCATGCTGACAGAAAGGATGAACAAACTAACCTGGCTTATATTTCTAGAAGAACTAGGAAAACCCTGAAGATCTGGGTCACAAGTAGGCAATAATCATTTTGCTTTTTTGATTTCATGGTTTCACATGTTTCTGCAAACCTACAGCCTGTTCCCTCTCATCTCTTCCTCCATCCTCCTCCTGTCCTGGTGCTTAAGGCTTGAAATTTCAGTGATGAGATCAACCTCAGTCGATGCCTTCAGAAATGTTGTTTTCTTCTGCTTTCTGACATGGCTGCTTCAAAGGTAATAGGAGTCGTAGTCATTCTGCCCTTGTTTTCTGCACTAATTCAGAGAACATAGCCACCAGTAGCCTGTGGTTTCAGTATACTCAGGAGACCACACAGTTATCCACTTGAACCACCCCATCCAACCCAGGGCTGAGTAATTTAACTCCATCCTTGGTCCTCATCACTATCTGAGATGAATCTGTGGTGTCCTCCCAACACTCTCATGCAGGACTTCATGCCTGGCTCCTCGAATGATCACATGATCTGTTTATATTTTCACAATTTAATGTGTAGCTTTCATGCATGAGGTTCACAGTCTCCCAAATAACAAAACTAAAATTAAGAGAGGTTTTAAAAATGGTAGGGAACAAACACTCCATTTTCAGAATATGTGTTTTATGGCATTTATTCTCCTTTATGCTGAATATAAAAACTGAGATTTCACCAATGCCTTAAGAGACAAACACATACAAATTGAAATCTGAAAACAATAATTATACGGAACAAAGTGGAGCCTGACAATTAACAAAAGCTGTTAAATAAAAAGTGTCTCTAGAAAAAGCAAAACCCTATAGTAAAATCAAACAAAACAGAAAGAAGCTTTGGTACTTTTCAAAAACAAGAGAAAAAAATAAGTTTATTATTAAATTCATGTAATATTAAAAAACCCTATGTGGGAATGTTGAATTAAATCTATAAAACAGAAACAAATCTAAAATATATTAGAGTCTGAGGGTGAAAAAAATCTTGCTTTTCTCTTCTTTGATTTTAATAAAATACCAGAATTTGGAAAAATAAGTATTTTCCCAACTAAATTTTCTTCTCTGTATACACCTAGCAGGATGGCACTCTGTATTTTATCTAATTTAAAAATGGCATAATATGATTTTTAGCAGCACATTTCCTTTGTTCCAACAAGACTACTACAGGAAATAAAAATTCTATCTTGAAATGCCCTTGATATGAAATCTGTGCCTACAATTCTCATCCTCTTCTTTCCTAGGATTTTAAGACTATGATTATCAAAATCTAAAGGCAGCTAGTTAAAGAAAGGAACAAAAAAATCATTATTATATGTTTTGAATTCAACTGGTAAAAGAGTACAGGTAAGGACACCATATTCTCTGAACTAACCAGAGGGTAACATCTTGGTACTCGGAGAAGCCTGGGTACCATGTAAATGCCATACACTGTGCTTCTACCTCACTCATAACAAGTACAGCACCACCCAATGGCTGGTCTCCTGTATTTCTTTGCCCATCAAAAAAAAAATGGCATAGGGAGATGCTATATAACTGTGTTGATAATTTAGTATTATTACCTACTAGTCTTTTTACTATAATCATAATAGGTATACTGTGGCTAACTCAAAAATTATGAGACAAATCTGGGTAGCTTTCTTTGTCTAGCAAGTATGTTATTGATCCATACTTTGACCCCAACAGTTAAATTGCAAAGCCTCAGCCTTAGCAAGTTGGTTCCTGGAAATCACTAGCAAGAGTAGACTAAATATTAGTTGAGTAATGAATTACAACATGACAATTTTTACAACTGCTTAAAAAGAAATTCTAAGTTTTATCAGAAGATTCACATACTCAAACACAATATCCAGTTAAAAAAAAAATTCCTGGATAGTCCCTGGGATTTGTCAAATGGAATTTGACCTGGATCTTACTTAATGACAACTAACCAGTAATATCCATAATTTGACAATAGCTTTCCTTGAAGAGAAAATTGTGGATCATGTGTCTGTTCCAATTAAGTAGAAATCTCTCACACTTTCCTTTTGGACTACAAATCTCAGGTTCGGATTTCAGCCTTAGCATTCAACAAGTTCTTTAGAATAGTCTACATTTAGCAAGGCATGGGGTGGGGGTGGGAGGACACATGTGACAGGGCTGTAATTCTTCTGCTTTTTCAATTTCTTATAGATTTTCTGCTCACAGTTATAGTGAAAAGTCCAGAATCAGAATGATAGGGATAAAATATTTTAGGCAGCCCTCTAAGAATTTATTCTATTCAAGGCTGTTTGGCAATTTAAAACTCTTTAGGTTTTTTTTTTTTTTTTAAATTAAGCATCCCTATTATAGGAACAAGAATGCAGAAAAGTAGCCTCTGCTCTAATGTAGTAGACATGTTCGACGTTTATCAACATCACTCCAATAAGAGTAGAGATTTTCCTGACAAATACAATTCTGAGTTACTCTCTTTCTCATACATATTGCTCTGAAAACTTACTTTTGCTCATATATGAAATCAGAACAAGTATCTCTATTAATCTGAAAAACCTGAGGCTGTACATTGGCCAGAAATATGAGCAAGCAAAGTTAGAGGCAAATGAAAAGTAACATAAGGAAAAACTAAATTTTACTACAATATTGGTATATTTTAATATGTCTAACCAAGGGTTCACAAAATATATCTAACTGAGATCTTCCTTTCTCAAAAAATATAATCCCTTCACAAAATAGAAGCAGCAGCTGTCTGTTAGGGGAGCTGCATTAAAAAATATATGAATACTTATGTATTATAAACAAATTGCTAGAGCTGAAAATGCCTTCAGATACTAGTCAGACAATTTTCCTATAAATTTACTATCTAATTAGTGCACCACTTAAAATATTATCTTTCAAGGAGTCTTAGGCATTTAGGTGAAACTTGCCCCTTGCAAGAAATAAAGAAGCATATATTTCAAATAGCAATTATTGTCATCCTAGTAACTTAGCTCTGATCACTTGATGTTGCAATAGGGATTTTTGGAAACATCTGGAGGAGCCTGGATAATACATGGGGTAAGAGTTTCCACTACTAAAACAAGTCTAGAATATCAAACTTTTTCACCAGGTGTTATTACAAAGCATGGGAATCATGATGCTTGTAAGTGATTCTGCAGCAAATTTTTCAATGCCCTTTTTCAACCAATGCTGCTTTTTTTTCCCCTTCTGACTCAAAGATTCTAACAGCCTGGCAGACAAATTTCAAAGATACAATCCAGGCAGCTTAAAGAGAAGTGGGTTTATGCAATTTTGGCATCTACTATAACCTAGGGCAGATCCAACATTTTCTCTCTGATACCCACTTATCTTTCAGTCATCAAGAAAGGACACCTGTAACAGGTGTCAGTATTTCCAGGTGAGTGAGGCAACTGCAGGCAAAATAAGAAAGAAAAAAAAATCCACCACCTGATTTGGTTTAAAGCAATCATGCAATCCTCATTATATCCACATCTTTCATAAACATCTTTTCCGTGGCAAGCAAAGTGACTGGTAATGCGTGTGGCTTTTGTCACAGTGATGCATTAGGTAAGCATGTGTGTGCGAGTACCAGTGGGTGCTTCAAAATGCATCTCCGTCATCTTCCACTCTTGTTCTCTAAGGTTCTGCCTGCTTAAAAAAAAAAAAACAATGCTAGTTATTGCATTACATCAACAAGAAAATTCACCCTTGGCAGGGGTTTTTAAATGTCAGGAACAGAAAGGCTGGAAATCATAACAAATCACCCCCAAGTGATTGGTAAGAGCAAATCCTGGCTTTCAGCATCAGAGCCCAGATTTAAATCACAGCCACCCGACCTGCCAAATACAAAAGTGAAAAGAGAGCTGCATGTTTTCAATGACCTTTTGGGACTCCTGTCACAGGTACTATTTCACTTGTATATGGCTGGATGGGAGTTACCTTGCTCAAAGGGCCTGTGGAGATGCTTGTTAACAGCAACCCAAGATGAAGAACCACTCTAGTGTGATCATACCTGTTAGTAAAGAGTTGGTGCCCCAATCCCCCAAGTGCCACCCTTGCACCCTCCCCCTGAGCCAACGGATAAAGAGCTGACACCTTGCACAGAGGGCTTCTGTGGTCTGCTCGAGCTATGGCCAGTCAGCACCCAGTGTAGACCAGTTGTTACCTACTTTGAATATCATCCCTGTAAGGCAGGGATCTGAAAGTATAATCTACAACAGGCCCTTCTTGGAGTCTACTAAATTTTAACTTTGACGGTTTTCTACCTAAAAATTATTGGTGAAAAGGCCTCCCTTTCTCAGAGTTAGTTAGGTATCACAGTAGACCAGCGACTGTGGGCTCCAGCCAACCACGGGGGAAAGTGAGATCCCCTCATTTCTCCCACCAGAGTTTCCACACCATCTAACATTTACATCCTTTAAAAAATTCTGTAGAGGACAAAAACTATATCCAGAGGCAACGTAGCCTTCAGGCCATCACCTAGAGACCTCCAACCTACCTTTGGCCTGCCCACTTTGGAGGGCAGCCCAGTCAGAGCCTACACTGCACCTCTGCCTGTTGGGCCCGTGAATGTCCTCTCCTACCATATAAGCGCAATTATAGGTGCTAATTCTGTCTTTATGTTTCCTGATAGGCTTTCTTGCCCTGTTTTTTATGCGTGTATACTAAACAAGTAGGAAAGAAAAAGAGAAAAGAGGGCTTTCATCTTTTAGTACATTAAACCTGTGAACCCTGTGTCAAAGCCTTAGACTGTAGACTGTATAATGAATCACTACCAAGGTGAAAAATTAAAGAAAGGGAGAAAATGCTAAATTGTTCTTGAAGACATTTTCGCTTCTCTCATATAATGATGAAGTATGAGTTCCTGTAAGTATGAGTTGCTATTAGCCTTTAAAGCCCTAAATGGTTCATGGAGAGTAGCACAGACCTTGCGCTATGGACATCTGCTCTGGTCCCAGGTGCTTCTGCCCAGGGACAACTGATTCAGGTCCCTGAAAATGGTGGGTGGATGGAGGCGTATCCAGGGCCCTCACCACCTTTGGGATGGCTCCCTGAAATCAAGTTAACTTCAGTGGCACCAAGATCAACTTTAATACTATGGCCACAAACCATGTGAGAATGTAAATTTCATAGATCATAGATTTCCTGAGAAACTGTTGAGAAAATACATTTCTTTTAAGAATAAAAAAGTCAGCTCACAGTCTCTAAGGAATTTACATATCTGGGAAAAATGGGAACACACAGTATTTTTTAAAAGGTTTTTGCATAGACAATGATGCCCGCTGGATTTATGCATCCATTAGACTATCCCATCCTAGTTTTTTCCAGTTCTTTGAAGATAAATCTGGACTTTTAATATCTTTAGATGAAACATGTTATAAAAATACTCTAATTTTCCTAACAAGTATTCAAATGTTCCAACTTTATAAAAACTGTTTTAAGAACCTTTAAATATGGTATGTGTGGGTTTTGCCTCTGCTTAAAACATGTGCATGGAAACCACCCACAACCATCTGTGGTCTTATTGATGTAAAAACAAAGCAAGATTTCACATTGGCTATGCACTGCAGATGCTGGTATATAATTTACGTTATTGAGGGTCCCTGCCTTCCTCCTACAGGTATGCCGGAGATGGTACAAATCCTAGGTAGCCTCAAAAGACCTATTACTTTCAGGCATCAAAGTTCTCGGTAATGTACTTTTACTTCAGTTGTGTTAAAAACAGACACACTCAAAACCTCAATTACTATGTATATAAAGATTGCTAGGAAATATACAAAAATATCAATGTGGTTAGCTCTGGGTGGTGATTTTAATTCTCTATTTTACCATTTTAAAATATTTTCCCAATTTAAAAAAATGAGTCTAGGCTACTTCATAATCAGAAAGAAAATGTGTGTTTTAAAAGAAGAAATAATATCAAAAATAGTACCTTACTTAATAAAGATATGTTTTTTTCTTATTTTGAAAGTGAATCCACAAGCTTAATAAAGTTGTGATAACACACATCATGTTTAGTTCTAAACATGAGAAAATATTGGCTCCTTTATGTTTTCTAAAAGACATATGACTTAATAAAGTGGCTTCAAAATATTTTGATTAAGAAACTGAATTTTTTTTTTCAAGGTTGACCATTTATTATTATGGACCATCTCATCTCCAATGAAAGTACATTTAAAAAACCTTTAAATATGACTCTGAGACTGTTATTTCAAAAAACATAAAGTAAAAAAATTTGCAATTTAAAACCAAAAGTATCTACTACTTTTTGCTACCTTAAATTCTTGGAGGAATGGGGTATAAATTAGAAATAAGGTGATATTCTAATTTATGGCAACAATTGAAAAACTGGAAAAAAAAACTAGCCTCTGTTGTGTGTTTTAACACTGGGTAGTCTCTAATTATGCATCAGAGGAAGCAAAATCCCCAAATCTAAGAAACTATATATGCATTCCACTAACACCTTCACTCTCCATTTCTAAGAATAATTCAAAAAAGATGAATTATAAAACAAGAATAAGGAAAGATTTACCTACCTTTGATGCCAACCGTGGTTTCAGGCCCAAAAATGAAAAGACTGTGTTGCTTTCCTTGGATTCAAAAAAACTGTCATAATCCTAGAAAAAAAGGGAAGGAGAAAATTAAAATAAATTATCTTTATATTTGATGCTTTGGACAAATTCTTTATGGAAGTAAAATATGTGCCATCACTCCATCCAGAACAGGGAAAAGCTAAATAAATCTGCTGAATTAGTCTGCTTGCACGTAAAAATTTCTTTTAGTATGATGAAGAACGTAACAAGTTTTTAATCCAAAACCTAAACAAGATTAAAATGTAAGACATTTGACAACTGAAATGAAATAGAAACATACTCCTTTTCCTTTGTTGGTCAGTGTGGAATCACTCTGACCTAAGATTTTACTCTAGGTCTTCAGTATGGAAGGCTGCCTCCCAACTCCACTCTTGATATTTTGTTATCTAGGGCTTTGAAAAAAATCACTGGGTAAACAAAGCTGTAAAGGTCTCCATGTGTCAATGAACATGTGTCTTATTCTGCTTCTGAAGTTTTCCCACATTCTTTGAGACTATCTCCTAGAGGGAACAAAAAGATCAAATAAAAAATAAAGGAAACTATATTCTCTATAATATTTACCTTTGCCTCAGACATAGAATGATTTTTCTCTTCCTACCTTCACAAGAAAGCATCAAGGAATTCTGGGCAATGTGTTCATTCAACTGTTTCTTTTCAAAAGTTTACATTTATCTTATGTAAATCAGTCTTAAAATTGGTAATTTGATAGCTTTATTCTAGGGGTAAATAATGTAAGTGAATGATGATCAAAATCATTTTAGCCATTTGCTCTGTGCTAAGTGCCTTATAAACATTATGTCATTTAATCTCCACCACAGCCTGCCACGTTGCAGACTGGCTCAAAGTAAAGAAATATGTTATCCAAGTTTGACAGCAAATAAGTGGGAGAACTGGTATCTGGGTTTATGTTTCACCGACCTTGAAATTCACACTTTTTGTACTCTAGGATGCATCCTACCCAAAAGGAAACCAAGTATGGGGCACCACGTGTGCTGAGGTCACTGAGCACTAATGAATCCATTGTTAAGCCAAGCCAATGGCATCACTAGTACTTTAGAAACCTATCTAGAAATCTAAACTTGTTGAAATTTGCTTCTTGCAAAGCATGCCTCATCTGATTAAAAATCTTTGAATTATTTGATTCTTTGTCCAGACCCTCTTCTCCAAAGGCTTTAGCAACTGAGTCTCACGGTTTGGAAGGCAGTAGGCTCAGGCTTTTATGTGGGCTGCGCCTTTTGTCATTTAGGATCAGCTCTAAAGAGAGGCCTTCCTTGACCAAGCCAAGAAGGAGTAACTTGTCTGCAAAGAGAGATTTGACCAAGTCTTCTTTGAAAACTGGCAGTTAAGCTTATATCCGAAGGATGAGTAGAGTTAGCCAAGTGAAGGACTGGGATGAGGGCATTCTGGGCAGGAAACGGCACCAGTGAAGAGTGAAGCTGGCAGGGTGGACAGGGATCAACATATGCTGGGCTGTGTAAACCAAGAAAATGATCTTGAATTTTATCTTAAGTACCAAAAGAAATCATATAAGGGTTTGCAAGGGAGCAAAATGATCTAGTTTCTTTTAGAAAACACCTAAATAACTGTGTGGAGAATGGCTCACAAAAAGGGCAGCAAAAATGATAGCAGGGGAAAAGTTAGTAAAGTCCTTTGGCAATTGCAGTAAGCAACGGTGGCAGCCGGAGTGATGGCAGAGGGCAGTAGACAGGCTGCAGATACGTTTAGGGGTAGAACTGATCCTACTTGGTTGTGGATTTGATGGGGGAGATTAGAGAGAAGTAAGAATTAAAGTAGCTCTGAGCTTTCTGGCTTGATGAAAAAGACTAGAGAATAAAGAAAATCCAAAGGGAAGGTTGGAGTTGAAATTCAACATGTAATGTCTGAGAAACTATATGAGACATTGAATAAAGAAGATAACAACTAAGCAAGTGAAGGTTTCTAATGGCTCTAGAATGTACAGATTTCATGGAATCTGTAAAAAAAATTATAATTTCTTATAAGACAAAATACAATCCTAGCTATGCCACAAAACAGGCCAAAGTTTGACATGCAATACAGGAAAAAATCTCATGAACTGAAAATGTTACATTCTTTGTAATGAAGCTATTTCCAAAGAGTTGAGTTGAAAAGAAATAATTCTTTTCAGAACATACTTTTTCTACCTGACAATTTGTGGACTATACTGAATGTGGTAAGAGGAGGAAGAGAACTAAATTACAGTTAGCTTTGTTCCATCCTTTAAGATATCCACTATATGGCTGGGCATGGTGGCTCACGCCTGTAATCTCAGTACTCTCGGAGGCCGAGGCAGGTGGATCACGAGGTCAGGAGTTCAAGACCAGCCTGGCCAACAAGGTGAAACCCCATCTCTACTAAAAATACAAAAATTATCCAGGTGTGGTGCTGCTCACCTGTAGTCTCAGGTACTAAGGATGCTAAGGCAGACGAATTGCTTGAACCGGGAGGTGGAGTTTGCAGTGAGCCAAGATCGTGCCACTGCACTCCAGTCTGGGTGACAAAGCAAGACTCTGTCTTGGAAAAAAAAAAAAAGCTATCCACTGTATGAAACTTAGTATACCTGTTCTCTCTATACCATATTCAGCCTCTACTCAGTTGAAAGTCTTTCCCTAGGGAAGCTCATTCACAACCATGGCCCTGATTAAATTCGTATCTCTTACCCTGACCTCTCCTCTGAGCTCTGGTTCCACAAAAGCCACTAACTGTTCACAGACTCTTAAACATAACAGGTCTAAAACCACAATTCATGATCTTCTGCTCCACAAACTGGACATCTCAGAAAATGGCACCACCATTTAACAGCCCCAATAAATCAGAAATCAATGCATCATAGGACTCCTTTCTTCCCTCAACCACTATTTTATATATCCCTTAAGCCTCTCAGTTTTTCCACATTGATCTCTACCGACCTGATCCAAGCTAGACTTCTGCAACAGCACCCCAAGTTATCAATCTTTGTCTAATCTTGCTATTTCTACCCATCATTCTTTCAAAGTGAGGACAGATTGATTTTTTAAAAGGCAGATTTGATCTCACCCCTTGCTTAAATCCTTTCCTTCAAGACTTCTCACTGCTTGTAAGATACAGACTAAAATCCTTAATGTAATATGAAAGGTCCTATAGATGAAAATCAGTAATGTAATATGAAAGGCCCTCTAGACTAAAGTCCTTAATGTAATGTGAAAGGCCTCATAGACTAAAATCCTTAATCTAATGTGAGACGCCCTACATGGCCTGGCTCTAATTTATCAGGTTTTGGGAAAAGAAGGATCTTTTTTGTTGTTGTTCAGACAAGGTGTCACTCTGTCACTCAGACTGGAGTGCAATGGTGTGTTCATGGCTCACTGCAGCCTTGACCTTCTGGGTCAAGCGATCCTCCCATCTCAGCCTATCAAATAGCTGGGGCCACAGGTACGCGGCACCACACCCAGCTATTTTTTTCATTTTCTATATAAAAAAATCAAAAAATTCATCTATGTAGATGAAAGAAATTATTGTAGAGATAACCCCTCTACAGAGAAGTTATTGTAGAGATAACCCCTTTACAGAGAGACCACCTCTTTGAAGACAGGAGCTCTCATTATGTTGCCCAGGCTGATCTTGAACTCCAAGGCTCAAGCAATCTTCCTGCCTCGGCCTCCCAAAGTGCTGAGATTACAGGCATGAGCCACTATGCCCAGCCAAGAGGGGTCTTATACTTCTACTTGCACCAACCACTGTCTGATGCAACCAAAGGTTCATTTCTGGGAAACTGAGTGGTGTATATGTTTAGTCAACTGTGGATGTGATGTTCGGCAAACCATGAGTTATCTATGACCCTGATCAACCCCTTTAACCTTCTAAGACTTTCTTCCTTTCTGAATCAGAATACTAATGAAATCTCTTTGAACCCTAGAATTCTATAAAATAAAGGAGAATCCAGTAGAGCTGCTCCTAAATGGACTGTTAGCTGTGACCAGGTGTAAAGCCCAGCCTAGGTATTCCTGTTCCTGCAGATATTTATTTGGAAATTGACCTTGTCTTGTTTAATTGAATAGGTAAGGGAAGAAATATTAATGAGAAGAAAAAAACTGAGGGCCAGTAACTTGGTCATCAAAATGCTATCCCTGTTCTTAAGTTTTAAAAGGCTATACCATCTGTCTCTATGTGATAAAAAAATATCTTATGTGGTCATTTGGGGTGGCTCACACCTGGAATCCCAGGGCTTTGGGAGGCTGAGGTGTGAGGATCCTTTGAGGCCAGGAGTTTGAGACCAGCCTGGGCAACAAACCAAGACCCTGTGTCTACAAAAAATATAAAAATTAGCCAGGGATGGTGGCACATGCCTGCAGCCCCAGCTACTTGGGAGGCTGAGGTGAGAGGACCAGTTGAGCCCCAGAGTTCAAGGCTGCATGTGACTGACGATCCATCATACCAGTGCACTCCAGCCTGCGTGACTGTCAGAGTGAGGAGGGGCATGTGTCAAAAAAAAACAAAACAAAAACAAATAACGCTAATGTCAGGGTGAAATGCAGGAAAGAAAAGCTAATAAAATGTAAAAAATAAAACATAAGAAACAATGCCTCACTCAATCTCTGTAAAAGTTGTATGAATTCTACTTTCAAAAGATTTAAGTGGTAACACGAAAGTACTGTGCACGTAAAAGAGCAAAAGGCAACATATAATGAGACAATGTTTATATTTCAGGTTTCAGTGTTTATAATTAAAAACCTTAATCTTAAAATGATCCCAATTCCCCAAATCACAAAATTGGAGATAAGGTAACTTCTCACATCCAATTGTCATATATATAAAACAACACCTATAAAATACACACATTTTGAGGCTGCAGTGAGCTAGGATTGCACCACTGTACTCCAGCCTGGGTGACAGAGGAAGACCCTGTCTCAAAAAAAAAAGTATATATAATATTTTCTTTCATGTAGAGAAAATATGTAACATTATCAATAATCCATTTGTCTATATTAAATTGAAACCATTCTTAAAGTTTCAGTCACCAAGAAAGG